CCCAGGTCTTCACAAGCCTCCAGGGAGCTTTCACGCACACAAGTTTGGGCACCACACTGAGGGACCCCAGAAACACAGCGACCCTGAAGAAAGCAGGGAGCTTAGGTCATAGTTAACAGGGGTGACTTTTCAAGTCCAATGGAGCCAGGCTCAGAGCCAGTGGGCCATGTGGCGGTGGGTGACTCCGACCTGGTCTCAGCCCCTCAGGTTGGCCTGTGCAGGGTCAGGCCTGGTTCGTGGATGGTTATGTGTCCAGATCTGGCCAGAGGGCTTGTTCTCTAGAGACACGTGCCAGGAGCTGGGAAGTGCTACTGGCACGGGCGTGGTCACAACCACCAGAGGCTCAGGTGGGTGATGTGAAGCTGCTGCACACGCACGTGCCTCTCTCCTCCGGAACCAGATGCGGAGGTGGCCGTCTGAGATGTGGTCACCGCTTCCCTGGTGGTAAACCTCCATCTTCAGAACAGACCATGCTCATTTGGGTCAAAGCTGTCATCTGCCTGGTCACAGCAATGAAAAGTTCTGCCTCAGATTTCCGTGTCCTCAGTGGAACCTAACGTGGCCCCACCGGATGGTGCTGGAAGATTCTGGGCGTGGCCCACGGAGGATCTGGGTCGTCAGGGAACACAGAAACTGTCTGAATGGAGGAAAGTGGGGGGTTTGGTGTGAGCTGTCTGGCTTCTTCCCAGGGTGAGCTAAGTCTGATGACTCAGTTCTGACCACAGGGGACACAGTGACTTTAAAGAGTGACCAGTGGCCGGAGTGAGGCTGGGGTTCTGAGAGAGAAGCCTGAGCCCGCATGTGCGGGTTAGTGGGGCCGGGCTGCTGCTCTCTAGGGAGAGCACACACAGGCACCCGACCCACAAAGGCAGCAGCACCAGCCCCTGGAGAGGCCTGGGAAACCAGAGAGGGCGGCAGCTTCAATGTGTCCTGGACCCGTTCCTTTGCTCCTCAGACTTACACCTCTCTCCACCGTCAGTTAAAATGCCTCATTATGTCATCTTGTACCGAAGTGAAGTCGCAAACATTAAATAAATGAAGGCCTCTGGAAATGCTTCTTCATGCTGGGTGCTGTGGTGAGCCGGGCCCTCCTAGCTAAGCGTGGAGGCACCGCAACGCAATGGGACTGCCACCGAGCAGGGTGTCACTGCTCCAGTTCCGCGTCTGAAAACGCATCTCAAGGAAACAATTCATCAGAAGCGATCAGCCACCTGCGGAGGATGCGGCCTGCCGCCTGTTCAATCCGTTCACGCTTGGAAACAGTGGCTGATGGGACTGGGGGTGGGTGCCATGGACCAACTGAAATGTAATCCCATGGAAATGAAATCTTGGGGAACAAATGAAATGTGAATTATAGAGACTGTAGGAAAGCAAAACCAATCTGATAGGCTGGGTGGACGCGGACTAAACACATCCACATAATGGTCAGGATGGCATGGATGTGTGCCTGGGTGGACGCAGGCAACAGCGACAGCTTCTATGGGGATTTTAGGGAATCATTCTGCTTTGAAGTGAATTTGAAATTTGTCTTTAATGGTGTAATCCCCTTTAAAATAAAACAATTTCAAAATCTGTGTGTGGAGCTATTTAACGATGACTTCTCTGTTTACCGGTTGGGGACAGACCGCGCTGCTCAGCAGCTGGTAGTCTGGGGCCCCAAGGCCCTGGTTCGGGTTTGATTTTGCCTAGAAGGACGGCCCACACCTTTTCCTCCTGACAAATCTGGGGAGAGGAGGGTCAGTTCCATGTTATGCTGTCAGTGGGCTCCACAGAGCATTTTCACTCCTGAGGGGCCCGGGGCCGCGGGGGAGGGCTGCTTCCCCGGCCCCCATGCCAGTTTGGGGTCGGGCTGTGCCTCTCGCCATTCCTGAGTGGGGCCTGGGAGAGGGGGCAGTCCACAGGGCACTGCAGTCTTCACCTCGCTCTGGAATAGAGTGCAGCCCTGGGCCACAGCAGCGGATGGGAAGGAAGGAGTAACGTGCACCGGGGCAGGCAGGAGCACCACGCTGTGCAGAGGGCTCCCCTGCCACTGCCCGCTGCCCCTCAGGGTGCCGCCACCTCTGCAGGACGAACCCGCCCCAGTGCAGCCCCAGCACATCCCTCCGCATGGCTACTGAGGGCCACCGCGCACCACACGGGTGCCGGGGTGGCCTGGACACACAGAGAACCCAGATCACGTCCTGGGAAACGTGTCCCACTGAGGAAATCCGTCAGTGGTCAGCTGTGTGTGATTAGCTTTGGTTTTTCTATGTTAGGGCTACGTGTCCAATGACCAAACAGACGTCAGACAACATTGTATTTTAGGGTGGGAAGTGTCCCCCAGGGATCTTGGGCAGGTTCCAGAGCGCACAGGGAGAGAGCGTGGGGCTCACAGTTGGACAGACCTGGACTGGAATGCAGTTCTGAAAGTAGAACACCACCTGCTCTACAAGATCAGGGTCGGGTGCAGGTCATCCGGAAGCAGTGGGTGCCTGCCCTTCACTGTGCGTGGCGGTGCCTGGTGAGGTGGGACCAGGAGTCCTCTGCCTCCCACCACCCCGGCTGCTTTGCTCACCCCCTGCCACGGCCCCTCCTCCTTTCATTTCCTGGCACCACGACTTTGGATGAGTCATGGAAGCTCCTTGCACCTCTCCCCCACCCCGTGTGCCGGGATGACACAGCACCTACAGGGCTGTGGAGGGGAGCATGCAGCGGCCCACAGAGAAGTGCCAGGGCAGAGGCTCCCACATGTCCCGAGGGCAGGACACCAGAGTCACTGGTGCCTGATGTGCACACGGCGCCTCTCATTGTTAAATCCACCCTTGGGCACAGAATGGTGCCCTCCATGACCCCAGAGCCGGTGCCACCTCCATACCTCCCTGTAGGGGCATGTGAGGGCCTATACCTGCCCAGGGCACCACTGCCCTAGTGACTACACCTTCCCTAAGACCTATACCTGCCCTGGCCTACAACTGCCCTAGGGACTACACCTGTCCTAGGACTACACCTGCTCTAGTGACTACATCTGCTCTACTGACTACACCTGCCCTAGGACTACACCTGCTCTAGGACTACACCTGCCCTAGGACTACACCTGCTCTAGTGACTACACCTGCCCTAGTGACTACACCTGCTCTAGGACTACACCTGTCCTAGGACTACACCTGCTCTAGGACTACATCTGCTCTACTGACTACACCTGCCCTAGGACTACACCTGCTCTAGGGACTACACCTGCCCTAGGACTACACCTGCCCTAGTGACTACACCTGCCCTAGGACTACACCTGCTCTAGGGACTACACCTGCCCTAGGACTATATCTGCCTTAGGACTACACCTGCCTTAGGGACTACACCTGCCCTAGGACTACACCTGCCCTAGGACTACACCTGCCCTAGGACTACACCTGCCCTAGGACTACACCTGCCCTAGGACTACACCTGCTCTAGTGACTACACCTGCCCTAGGGACTACACCTGCCCAGGCCCCCACTCCTGCCTGAGGTATGGTACCTGCTTGAGGTGCAGGCCATTAGGGCGGCCTTTGGCCATACTGAGCTCCCATACGCAGACCACGGTGCTGTCCCCAGAGGTGACGATTGTCGTGGGGGACGGGCACACAGCACACAGACAGCGGCCCCAGTCAGCCAGGTTCTCGAACGTCATCAGGACCTGAGGGAGACAAGCATGATTCGCACTAACTCGTGAGCTTCACTCCTCAGAATGTGGTCGGAGGCTCAGCCCACGAGGGCCCTGGCATAGTCATGTGACCCCTCTCACTCCGGCTTGGGCACAGCCACATGGGGGACAGGGGCACAGGGACTTGCCTGCGTTCGGCTCGCCCATCTGACACCTCTGTCCAATCGCTAGGCTGCCAGCCTGGCCCTCACCTTGTCGGAGCCATAGCTGCCCAGGCAGCAGCTGAGGTCGTCGGCTCCCCAGCAGAAGGTCCTGCTCCAGGCGGGTGGCAGCAGCAGCTTGCCCCTCTCCACGGCCAGGACGCTCTTCTCGGTGGGGACGATGTGGCCGATGGCGCCTTTGGGGGACTCTGAGCCTAGAGAGAAAAGGTACATATCTGCCTCCTCAGTCAGTATGGAGGAGCACACACATTAAAGGACCATACCCCTTTAGCTGGGACCCCAAAGGAGCCAGGGCAGGCAACTGGACTCAGCACAGCACATGCCCTGGCAGGAACCACTGGCCGAGGCACCTCTGTCCTAGCCTCACTCCAGGGGCCACCTAGACCCTGGCCTGAGGTGCCCCCTGGCCCCGAGGGTGTCCCCTGGTCCCAAGGGTGTCCTCTGGGGCCAGAGATTGTCCCCTGGATCCAAGGGTGTCCTCTGGGCCAGAGGGGTGTCCCCTGGCTCTGAGGTGCCCCCTGGCCCCTAGGGTGTCCCCTGGCCCTGAGGGTGTCCCCTGGCCCTGAAGGTGCCCCCCTTGCCCTGAGGGTGTCCCCTGGCCCCAAGGCTGTTCCCCTGGCCTGAGGCTGTTCCCTGGCCTGAGGCTGTTCCCTGACCTGAGGGTGTCCCCTGGCCTGGGGGTGTCCCCTGGACTGAGGGTGTCCCCTGGCCAGTTCTGCCCTTAAGGCAAATGAGCTCAGTGGTGTGGCCATGCAGGGAAAAAGGGGCTTGTGGGGTGCCCTGCAGGTTGTCAGGTGTCTCTTTCAGGGGATGACAGCAAAGGGAGAAGGGGCCATGGGCTGGGGGGCAGATGGGCACAA